CTGTAAAGATCTGCCAGCTTTCTCACTCAGCTCAGATACCACCAGAGTAACCTAGTTCTCAAGAGCCTGGCCACAGAATGTCCTGGGGCCCTCCATACTCTAGGCCATGCTCCTCCAGGGCTGTGCAACTCAGCCTCCCTATCCTTCCGGAAAGCCAACTCCAGACACAAGTGGCATCCTTAAATGCCACTGAAGGGAGAGAAAGGAAAACTGCACTACACAAGAATCAAAGATTTCAACCAAGCAACCAGAAACTTCCCTGGAGGGGAAATGAGGTAAGGTCTGAGACAGGGCACCAGGCTGGCAATCACTTTGAGTCCTATCTCTGCTGTATGTCCTTTAACCCGCTGCCACGAATGCCACAGCCAGGCACTGCTTTACACATATGCTTTCTTATGTCATTCGTTTGCTTTTTTTTTTTTTTTTTTTTTTTTTTTCAGAACCAGGTATTGAACTCAGGCCTTGCACTTGCCAGGGAAGCGCTTATTCTACCGAGCCATCTCCCTGGCCTCTTTTGTTTGCTTCTTGCTTTTTGATGCTGCTAAGAATTTCACCCAAGGCCTTGCAGATGCTACCAAAGTAGATACTCTCTAGTATTGAGAGACATCCAAAGTTCCTAAATTGTTTTTACTTATAATTACTGTAAGTATTTACTCTCTGTCTCTCTCTGTTAATTCCATACCAGCTCCGGAAGGACAGAGGTTTTTACTGGTTGTGTTCAAACAGCGCCTTGCATGTGGTAGGTACCAAATAGGGTACTAAAGGAGTCTAGCACGCTCATGCTTAGCCATAGAATACATTTTGTGTGTTCTTTTCCTCATTAAAAAATAAATAATATAGGGGGCTGGGGAGATGGCTCAGTGGAATAAATGCTTCCCTGGCTAGCTCAAGGGCCTGAGTTCAATCCCCGGTTCTGCCAAGAAATAATAATAAATAAATAATATAACTTGGTGTGGTGCCATATATCCATAATCTCAGCTTTTGGGGAGGATAAAGCCAGAGAATTTCAAGCCCATGAATTTAGAACTTGCCTGGAAAACACCAAGTGTCTGTCTGTCTGTCTGTCTGTCTGTCTCTCTCTCTCTCTCTCTCTCTGCGGAACTGGGGATTGAACTCAGGCCCTTGCGCTTCCCAGGGAAGCGCTTATTCCACTGAGCCATCTCCCTGGCCCTCAAGACCCTCTCTCAAAAATAAAATGGTCACTAAATTCTTCACAGAGCCCCATGAAGTATGAATGATTTTTATCCCCACTTTACAGGCGGCAACTTGAGGTTTAGAGGGGCACGTGACTTTTTCAGAGGTACTGACCCAACAAAAAGTACAGTCAAGTCTAAAAATAAGTAGTGGTCTCTGCAGGACCCTTGCAGCCGCTTGGATTCAGAACTGCTGTGGCTGGGAGCCGCCAGCTGCCTTCGGGACTCCTTAACTGACTCATAGTGAGAATGCCCCAGCAGTTAACACTCACTGAGCGCTTGCCACAGATGAAGCATTCTTCCCAGGGCTTGGTTTTGACTCAGGACAACCTAGGAGCACTTGGTGTGATCCATTTTTCAGTTAAGGAATCCGAGGCCCCAGGGAGGTTAAACAACATTGCCAAAATCTCAAAGCTAATAAACTGTTGAGCTTCCAGTTCCCTCACCCAGGCCCTTTGCCACCACTGTGCTCAAATGGCAAGCCGAGTTGGGGGCAGGGCGCTCTTTTACACACCTCGAGTTCCCTTTTCATGTTATCTTGTAAAACCTCACAATTACCTGAGAGGTTATAGATGGGCAAGGTTATAGATGGCCCCTAACAGGGCCAAAAGTAGACGGAGAATACAGAAAGCAGATCAGTGGCTGCCTGGGGCCCGGGGTTAAAAGGAAATGGAAGTGGCTACTAATACGCAGCTGCTCTGGGGGTGATGAAAATGTTTTAAAGCGGCACGACAGTGACTATTCTGTAAAACACTGAATTGTATGCTTTATATGGGTGACTTGTATTTAGGTAAATGAATTATATCTCCATCAAGCTGTGTGGGGTTTGCTTCTGTTTTTGCCTCCTAATGCTATGGATCGAACCCAGGGCTTTGTGCTCGGGTCTCTATCACTGAGCTACAGCCCTGCCCTGTTTTGATTTGCAAAATAGAAGCTCCATGGAAGGAGTGGCAGAAGTGGAATTTCAATAAGCTTCACATCAAAAGCCTTGAAACTGCTGTTATTTCTTACTTCTCACATCCAATTACCAGCAAACAAAATGTATCCTAAGGCTTATTCTCACTTCTCTTCCACACAGCCAGGTCCCAGTCACCAGCTCTTCCCTTCCTTGAAAACCGGTCAGATGGTGTCCCTCTTCTGCTCAAAAGCTTTCATCCCTAAGAATACAATCCCTGGCAACTCAATTCTGGCCCTACCCACTTGTCACCCCAGTCCCCCCCCAGCCCCCTCCCAGGCCTGCTTCAGACCTTTGCACTCTGCCTAGCTTGCTCATTTATTGGGGCTCTGCCCCCCAGATGCCTTCCTTGACCTCCCAGCCTCTCCAAGCCACTCCTCCAGCATGGCACTAAACTCTGACCTGACTAGTTTCTCTTTCAAGTATTTTTGACCCCTTGCCATCCTACAGAGGGCTTTATTAACTCCATGGCTCCACCCCCAAGTGGGAGACCCCTGGGACAAGGGCTTTGATGTGGCATCCAGCTACATGGGAGGCTGAGGCAGGGGTGTTTCACATTTGAGACCAGCCTGGACAACTTAGCGAAATCTCGTCTCAAAATTTAAAAAAATAAATTAAGTAAACAAAAGGTCTCAGGATGTAGCTCAATAGTACAATGCCCCTGGACTTAATCCCTAGTGCGGGGGTGGGGGGAGAAGAGGTAAATCTGAGGCCAAACCCTGGCTCTCCTCACTGTCCCTGGGAAAACTTGATCATTGTTTCACATGCCTTTTTCAAAGTCAGGGATCCCCTTTGTGCCATATGGGTGCCTCTCTTCTTAAATTTTCTTCTTTATGAATAGTAATAATTCCTTACAAGACTGTGGCTTGGGAAGGGTAGGGCCCACAGCATACAGAAATTTTTGTTTGCTTGCATGAGGAAGACGAACTTCAAACTCAAGTGTCAGAAATTTAATTTCTCTTCTCCCAGATGTTGTCCACTGCCCTGAAGATATCAAAGTTCTATTTCCAGGACCCCCAACACCTTGGAGTCAAACTGAAATTCCCCTTTAGAATTTATTGGGTCCTGGGCTATTCTGAGGAAGCTCCTGGCACAACAGAATTTGCCGGTAAGCCCATAAAAACCTGTGTGAAGAGAAGGCAAACCTGAAGCACACACTTACTGAAATTGCTTTTTGTTATCTCAGAGGGAAATCAGAGCAGGCAGGCAGACAGGCTGAGGCAGGCATGGGAAGAAAGCTGGAGTGTTAACAGGCTAACATCACACCTCTGGTGCCCCCCTCCCAACAGGACACTTCCCTGACTGCCTTGCATTCTGCACTCCCTTGCCCTAGTCCTGCTGGTTCCCCAGGTACCAGAAGCTCTCCAGGCCTTGGTTCATGCTGTCCCTTTTCTCAGGCATACACTGCCCTTCTGCCCAAGTGGGTGATACCTACTCACTCTGATGGCTCCGCTGCAAAGCTTCCCTTCATCTCTTCAGCACCTCACTCCGCTCAGTCCCTTGGTTCTGAGCTGTAGGTGTTAGCACCTACCCAACCACCTAACTCTTCTTTGCTCCTTTATTTCCTTTGTGTTGTTCTTTTGTTTTTGTTTTTGCAGTACTGGGGACTGAATTCAGGACCCTGTCCTTGCCAGGCAGGCGCTTATTCTACTGAGCTATCTCCCTGGCCCTGTGTTGTTCTTTTGTTCTTTTTATTTTTTCTTTGACCAGGGATAGAACTCAGGATCTTGTGCTCACTGTTGTTCTCTTGAGACAGAATCTATGTATTCCAGGTTGGCCTTGAATTTGGCAGCAATCCTCCTGTCTCAGCCTCCCCGTTGGTGCAATTACAGGCATGTACCACCATACCTGGCACTTATTTCCTTTATTCTTTATAATGCTTGGAAATCAAACCTAGGGCCTCACACATGCTGGCAAGTGCTCTACCTCTGAGCCCCATCATCTAATTCTTCTACACATCAGGCTTACAGAAGACAATAGCAAAGTAATCCATAATTGCAAGTTGAGAAAAAGGTTAAGAAGGAAATATTTAAATTTGAGGAGTATGTGTATGGGGTTAGGGTGCACCAGAACAGCAGCCGGGAAGGCTTCTCTGAGGAGATGACATTAAGCTGACAGAGAAGAGGACCCAAGTAGAAGCAAGTGGAGAGAGAAGTGTACCAGGCAGCAGGCAGAGCACACAAGAAGGTGCCGGGCAAGAAAGCATTTGGCATAACCCAGAAACCAAGAGGAGGTTCCCTGTGAGCAGGGGATAGGGGCAGGCCTTCTCACGGGTAGTGAGGCTCCCAGACTGTCCCCTGTGTTTCTTCTCACGGGGGCCACACTACATGTCACTCCTCTTCCTGTGTCCAATGCAGATCAAGAGGGTTTCACTAAGTGTGTGGGCTGCAGTCCCCAGAGACTGTGAGCAGCCCCACCTGGGCCCACCTCCTGCCCCCACAGCAAGACCCCACTGGGCTCACCTAGCTGAGGCACCCCAAGCGGTTAACAACACCAGAGACAGAAACCAGGATGAACCGGGGACAGCTGCATGTGCTATGGTTATATTGTGACAAATGCCACTGCTATCCAACTGGAGATGTGACCACTACATGGTCCTTGGAGACCAGATCCTCAGGGTAAACTTCACTCAGATGGCACCTCTCATTTCAGAGGGCCTGCCAACATCAGCACCAAGATTAAATAATCACTTTGAAGTTCAACATACAGTTTCCAAGATTTAGTAGTTTCTCAATTTTTTAAAATAACAATTCTGAAGATAGGTGGGCAGCAATTTCCAAGGCTCCCAGGTGCCCTGTCCTGCTGAATCAACCGCCAGCCCATCTGAGGATTCTGGCTCAGTGATATAATCCTTTGAACTCGTTTATTTTGCAGCAAAAATAACTTTGACTGTGCCAAGATATGGGTTTTTCTTGTTCTAACTCTTTCGGGAAAGAGCGGATGGTACAGGGACATCGCACGTTAACTTGAGAGCATCTTACTGAAAGACCACAATTAAGAAACCTTTGTCTGAGTCACACACACTTTTTTTTTCTGGGGGTAGTGGGGATGGGATGCAGAGTCTTTGCACTAAGCTATATCCCCAGCTCTTTTTATTTTGAGATAGGATCTTAACAAATTCCCCAGCTGGGACTGGAATTTAAGATCTTCGTGCCTCGGTCTCGCATGATGCTGACATTATAGGTGTGCAGCACCGAGCACAGCACAGTACCCATACGTTTTAATGTTTGCTGGTGTATGCACCGTGCTTTCTGCTTTAAACGCAGTGTGAGATTCTCAAAACAGCCCTGAAAGGTGGACTATATGACAAAAGCCCAAGATACAGAGAATTAAATCCGAACCAGCTCTGGGTCTAATCTGTGCCCCTCCAACTCCCCCCCCAGTGCTAACCCCTGGGATACATCTAGGCAGGCGTAGAGGTATGAAAAACCATAAGATGAAGTGTGGCCCATTTGTGGTATTTCTTTTTTTTCCCCAATGGTAAACAATATAAAATATTTTCATATTTTAAAAAAAGAGGAGGGTTTTTGAGAGGATAACCCAGGCTGGCCTTGACCCATACAGCCTAGAGTGGCCTCACACATGCATCCTTCCTACATCAGCTTTCTGAGTGACAGGATTACAGGCATGTAGCACCATGTCTGGAAAGATATGGATATATTTTAAAGTACACTGTATAAGTTTAAATAAACTGTAAAAACAAAACAAAGGCAAAAAGAACTTTCATCCCTCTTTTCTGGGCCTGAGTATCTTAGGAGCCACAATGGAAAAATGTAAAAAGCACTTGTTACTGTCTCCCCTCACCCACATTCTTTTTTTGAGGTGCCAGGGATCAAACCCAGGGCCTCATACATTCTAGGCAAGTACTCTACCACCAAGTCACGCCCCAGCCCTACCCCGGTTTTACATCTTTCTTCCTTAATGCTATGTATTTTAAATGCCAATACTGCAATACAGTATTTTTCCCCTCCTACCCTCCTGTAACAAAATAAAATATTCAAAGAAAATAAAGTGTGTCAGCTACAGGCATCAGTCAACAGTTATTTTCAAAAGTGTCAGCCATTTATGAGGTCACCTTTTTGTAAGTATAATAAATCTGATTGATTTTATTACACATCTTAGTTTAGAATCACTTTTACATTCCCAGACAAAGAGATGATACAAATAAATATCAATTGTAAAACTTAGAGTCCCTAGTATTGGCATATTCTTTGTCTAAAAGTAGCCAAAGAGAAGGTCAAGATCAATAGTAACTCAAATGAGCCATAAAGCCCACTGCCTTCGGCCCCCCTCCGGGGACCTCTCCTTTCATAAATAACCTCAAAAGTATTTCATTCAAGAGACAAGGGCAAGGAGAAAAGAGCCAGATTTCCAAATAGAACAAGACAACGCCTCACGCGGTAGATAATCACCAGGCCCACTGTTCATAACTAGTTCCAGCTGAGCATTTTCAGGATGGCTTAGGGTACATTAAAAGCCTGGACTTCATCTCTGATGGTGTGTGGATGGTCCAAGAAGGATTCACAGTACACTGGACTTCAAATGAGGCTGTGAGGCAAAACTGACACCCTGTGTTACAGGGAGCCGACACTTCTCAGAAACTTGGCGACAAATCTACATTCAGTGAGGGAGGACTTACAAGAGTCAGACAGGAAAAGCAGAGAGCAGCCCAGGGCTGAGCTGCAGAACACTCTGGTGCCCTTCATCAAGGAGGTGTGAGTGGAGCAAGTCAAGCAGCATGCAGGCAGTGGACGGGGAACCATTCAATGTTAGGTCAGAGTCTCCAGAAAGTGCTTCATGCCTAGGATTTGTGGCCTTGGGTTCTGAATCCAGGTGTCTGGGAGGGGTGTGACTGTAAAAATGTGAAACCAGATAGATTCTACTGAGCAGAGCAAAAGGGAGTCTGGTGAGGTTGCAGACAGTCTCAAACTCCTTCTCCCAATGGTCTTCTGAGGTCCCACGAGACACTTGCTTTCAGACTTCACTAGCTGCTGGCATGAAGACTCTCCACCATTCTGGAACATTCCAGCACAAATGCCCTCATGGGCTTGCTATGTCCTCTACACATGTGGCTCAATTGGAAGCCAAAAGCAGCACCATTCTGGTGGCAGCAACATGTCTTACCATCTGCTCTTCTCAAATATTTATCGGATCCATTTTGAGAGAAGAAAAGCACCAGAGACTGCTTAGAAAAGGATAGTTTCATCTCCTAGTGAGTATCCTTTTACAGTGTCCCCAAACCACCAAATGGACACAGTAGAGTACCAGACAAGCTTGTATTAGTATTCAGGCCTTTTAGCCTGGCTTTCCTCGTTCACCTTCTGGAAAAGTTCTGTGTCATGTAGCTACCCTTACTCACACAGCCACCTCAAGACACCAGTATGAAGGTATAGTGTTAGCCACAGTTTGTTCTCTGATTTGCTACATGATCCTTTTCAGCCTATGGAATTCAGACTAGCTTTGAAGGAATGTGGTGTGAGAGACATGTTCACCAGTAGATAACCATTTGTGGCTACATCATTTGGTTCCTATTCAAATGGGCAAATTCTTAGTAAATAAGGTAGGGTTTGATCCCACAAAAAGAAAGGCTCCATTATGCTCTGGGAACTGCTGAGCAGAGCTCTGGATTCAGAAGGAATGGTTACTACCACAGAGAGAGCTGTGAACTCCAGATCTCCATTTTCCAGAATGCCAAGACGTTGCACTTGGTACCTCCTCTTTTCCATGGGTTCCGATCCAGCAATGTGCCCTGGGAACTGAGCAACTGGGTTAAAATATAACTCAAGGCCCACCTGAGTTGCCATCTTCCTGAGACACCATGCCAGCAAGGTGCGCCAGTGTGGCAGTCCTGGGGACTCACCATGTCCCCTCAGGCTTGGCTCGTGGACTTAGACACCCACACAGGAGCACTTCCAGCCTAGTCTAGTCATTCAGTAGGACTTTAACAGACAAAAGGCAACAACTGCACATTAGCATATTTCTAAAACTGGGCAAGTTCTTGGTCTCCATCTCTTAGACGTACATGGACACGCTGATGGGGCACACACATGGTGCTCACACACTTACGAGCTTGGGCTTGGGTAATGAGTAACAGTCTGCCTGGCGGAAGCCCTGGCTCTAGGATTCATGAGTTCACAGCTGAAAGCAACCAGACTCCTTTGCTTCCACCTGTCTGCCTTCCCTTCCCGCTGCTCTGAGGCTTCTTTCTCTAGCTCCGCCTCTGCCTAGCTATTCTTCCGCTCTTTCTGCCAGTATGGAATAAAACGGGGAATGAAAAAGTGCTACGTCTTAACTCTAGTCCCATAGAGAAGGCAGAGCCAAGCTCCCTTGTCCTGTAAAACAGGCCCTCTAAAAGTACACTCCAGAGGCAGAGGACAGGCTTCCACAGGGATGTTTGGAGTATGCACACAAAGGGACAGATGGTGGCAAATGAAGAGTAAAGTGACACAGTAGATAGACATGGCACTGGCTTTTGAGGTCTGAAAGAAGCAATTTCCTTAAACTCTCTAAGGAGACAAAGGGAATGGTTATTTCTATTGCTTCTGACACTGAATCCTTCAGGAGCAGAAATTGGAAGAGATTTCCTCATTCAGCAGATCCCCAAAGCAGATCCACTTCTTACTGAGAGGCATGAAAGCAAGGTTGCTGATCATGTCCTCCTGGGCTTAGATGCAAATGAGATTCCTCATTTCTCCCTGTAAGATCAGGCACCTAGTCAAATCTAGGGTTTTCACTTTTCAACCTCAATGTCACTTTATCCAAAGGCTTCAAAGATGCCCCATTGTTTCAAAAGAAGGGAGCCCAATGTGAAGAACAGACTACAAAAGGAGAGGAGAGAAAAGAGGGCAGGGGTGGAGAGAAGACAAAGGAGAAGAAAAGCAAAGTCATGGTCATTCTCTTGCTGTCCTCTTGGGCTATCGCACTTTACCTTACCCATGCATTTCTGAGATGCTATGTAAAGGACATTTCCCAGAGGAGCTGACTGCCAGATTAGGACCAGCATGTTCCACCAGATTAAGCTGGTTAATCTGTAGAGGCCATTGCTTCTCCTCAGGGGAACAGTTCTGAGTCCAGACTTAAGTTCTCTCTGCAGCTTCATGTTCGTCTCTTCTCTGCGAAGGCAACACTGCTGCTCGTGCCCTGGGAGAGGAGCCCAGCTTTACTTGGGCACCAGCCCCCGAGACTGTGGATACAGCTGAGATGCAGGAGTTCCTGAAGAGGATGAGGAGGAGGATCCCGACTTCCTTCCACTTTTAGGCCTGCAAAAGCCAAGCACATGTGGGTATCACGCAGTCCCAACCGTCATGAACATTTCAAGGTGACCTTTCCTCATGGCCTGAAAGCCAGGACACAAGCAACTGTAAAACTACTAGGCTGACCCTGCATGACCCCCAGTATGGCCAACGGGGGCTGCCAATAGAGGTGGGAAACCTGTGCAAGGTAGCAAGGTTCTCTGCTGCTCAGCAATTGTTCTGCGTGTGACTGTTCTCTCCCAGCTGGTAAAAAAAATACTAACTCGGTGCAGTGGCACACACCAGTAGTTCCAGTTGCTCCTGAGGCTGAGACAGGAGGGCTGCTTGAGCCCCAGAGTTTGAGGCCAGCCTGAGAAACAGAGCAAGGCCATATTTCCAAGAAAATAAAAAAAGTTTACAAATAGAATTTTTTTTTTTGCGGAACCGGGGATTGAACTCAGGCCTTTGTGCTTGCCAGGGAAGCACTTATTCCACTGAGCCATCTCCCGGCCCTAGAATTATTTTTCATTTTTGTTATCTATCCCATTTTTTCTTTAAATTTCAAATTCAGAATTTACAAAGATAAAATTCTGCTTTTACACCAAACAGGTTTGGTGGGGTATTAATTTAGTAAGGAGGCTCACAGCTGGGATTATGGGTTAAGAAAGATCAAGATTTGAACATTGGCTCTGGCTGAATACTTACGTGCTAAATTTCCTTGGATTTGGCTACTATTATGGTTTATATCTAAAATGTCCCCAGAGCCTCATGTGGTCCCAAGTGGAGCTTCTGGGAATGGCATGGGTGTGCAATACCGCGCTAAGGGTATCATAACTGAATCAGCCCACTGACCAGATTAGCAAGGTTCTGACTGTGGGTAATGGGAAGATGGGGGTGGCACCGTCCAATAGGCTTGGAGCCTGGATGGGAGACAGGAAAGGCAGGCTCCCCGCTTGTTGCCTCCTGCCTACCCTTCCATAAACTTTTTTTCCTCTGTCATGTCCCTCTGCTGTGCTGTCCTGCCTTGGAGCCAGTGGACTATGGACTGAAACTTTCACAAACCTTGGGCTAAACCTTTCCTCCTTTAATTTGTGGGTGTCAAGTATTTTGCCTCAGCAACCAGAAAAGTAATTAAAAGAGTTACTTTCTCACATTTTCTATGTACCAATTTTCAGTAAAATGGGGCTGAAGATACTTTTTTTTCCAGGAAATCATTAACTGCATCATGAAGCACTTAAGAGCTCCCCGCACCAATAAGAACTAAAGAAACGTACCCTGGGTCACTGGAACACATGTTTCTTATGGCAGGGACTGGGTGCACTGGGTACTGTGGTATTCAGTATACTTAGCGCATCTCACATTTGTGGAATAAGTAAAAAAACAACTTCTAGTAATTTCTATAAGCATTCCATAGTAAACAAACACTCCTGCCACCCTCTAGCTTGATTTATCCTTCTTTCAAACACAGTGCACCAAAAGCCACTTACCTGGCCCTGGATTTCTTAATTGCGGTGCTTTCAAAGAATGATGCATCCACCTGTATCTCATCTTCGTCCTGTAGCGCTGCATCCAATGCAGCCTGGACCTTGGGGGCAATGGCCGGGCCCTCGTAGTTTCTTGTGGTCCGGCTGGGCATGTCCAGTTCTAACAGCATTGTGTTTTCTGCCTGCAGAAACAAAGTTATCACCAACTAGGTTGGTCCACTTTCAGACACGGAACACAGGCACACTAACCTCCTCTGAGGACACGACTACAAAATGCCTGCCATTCAGAGCGACTAAAAGACTGCCTAGAAGAAGTAATATAGTTTAACTTTTTTCCTGGTGGGATAATAGATTATTTCTTATATTCTTTTGGTTCTTTGTTTGTTTGCTTTTTGAGACAGGTTATGATGATGCAGTCTAAGCTAGCTTTCAACTATGTTGTCCAGGCTGGCCTTGAACTCACAGAAATCCTCCTGCCTCAGCCTCTCAAGTACTGGGATTACAGCATGTGCTACCATGTCCAGCTGATCTTCTTTATGCTTTTCTGTATTTTCTACTTTTATTTTTTATTTACAAGGATCATATCTTATACCCTAAGGAAAATAATTAGAAAAAATTAAGTAAAACCTGTATTGCAGACAGTTTAGAAATGCAAAAAGATTATAAACAAGATATTCACCACCACTAATCTCCCAAAGACTTTTCAGCTGCAGAGGGGAGGAGTCTGGTGTGGTATTGAGGGGCATCCTCAACAGTGTATGTCCTCATAATTACATTTTATTTTTTATTTTATTTATTTTTTTGGCAGAACCGGGGATTGAACTCAGGCCCTTGCACTTGCCAGGGAAGCGCTTATTCCACTGAGCCATCTCCCCGGCCCTTATAACATTTTAAAACAAGTTGGGGAAGGGCCAGCCAAACAGCTCAGTGTATTAAAGCGCCTGTAAGCAGGCACAGGGACCAGGGGTTTGATCCCTGGGCCTGCCATGCTAGCCCCGCCCCTGGGGTACAAGGAGATGGCAACTGAGACTGGGTGTGGTGGTACTTTTGCGCCTGTAATCCCAGCTCTTGGGAGGTTATAAACAGGCAGATCACTGCGAGTCTGATCTAACAGTGAGACCCTGAATACCCTGTAGACCCTTCCCTAAAATACAAAAAATGAAATAAAAAAAAAAACCAAGTTGGGAGCCTTGCCTCACAGTTAGCCCTGCTCGAAGTCTTGTGAGCCTCTCACAGCTCCTGGGAGGGCTGGACAAAGAAGGAAGCACCACAAATGTATCCGCTTCACCTCTCCCACTCAGCCAGCTCCAGGCTCCAGAGCAGGCATGCGGGCATGCGGGGCCACAGCAGTGAGAAGGTGAGCAGAGGAACTCTAGATGCTGAGACAGTGCATAAAATTTCTCCTGATGGAAGTAGGTTCACTGCTCATTTGCAAATCACTGCTTTAAATTCTCCTTCAGGCTGGATTTGTCCTGAGGAAAGTCACATATTTGATTTGTGGGCTTTAATGTTTTTGCTTGAGATGCAAAATAATTGGCCAAATATACATCATCTGAAACTTCTAGAAAAATGATCTTAAGCACTCTGACCCACCACCCATCTTCCACAGTATAAAAATCTCATCTACTAAATCTGTTTTACTTTTTTTTGCTGTACCAGGGACTGAACTCAGGACCCTGCACTTGCCAGGTAAGCACTTATTCTACTGAGCTATCTCCCTGGGCCCTTATTTTACTTTAAAGAACTCAGTGTCAAGACAAATAGCACCCCAGGAGCTAATTCTAATAATCTCCTATTTTTCATTGATTCCAAGGGAGAAACAAAACTTTCATTTTGAGGCAAGGTCTTGCTGTAGTCCAGGCTGGCCTTGAACTGGCTATGTAGCCCAGCTGACTTCACTCTTGATCCTCCTGCCTCCACATCCTGTGCTGGAATTAGAGGTATATGCCACCATGCCCAGTTAACACTTTTGAACTTTCATATTATAAAAAGAGAGGTTCCTTGCTGGTCATGAACTTGCAACAATCCTCCCGCCTAAGCCTCCTGAGTGCTGAGATTATAGGTGTGCGCCACCATGCCTGGCCAAGTTTCTATTTTCATATATTTTGCAATGCATTTTTCAATTTACATTTTAATATAACACAAGTAGATATTAATAAAGAAAATATAAAAAATAATTTTCTTCAATGAAAAATAAAACAAAATTTAATAACAAAATAGAGAATAAAAATGGTTAATATACTGTGTATCGCTAGGCGTGAGGGTGCAAGTCTGTAATCTTAGCACCTGGGAAGCTGAGGCAGGAGGATCATTATGCGTTCAAGACTAGCCTGGGCTACAAAGTGAGCTCAAGGCCAGCCTAAACTGCACAGAGAGACCCGTCTCAAAAAGACAAAAAATAGGGGCTGGGCAGATAGCTCAGTAGAATAAGCAATTGCCTGGCAAGCACAAAGTCCTGAGTTCAATCCCCAGTGCTGCAAAAAAAAAAGACAAAAAACAAACACTATATTTTATGATCTTAAAAAACAAATGGACAGGGGTCAAAGAGATGGCTCAGTAGAATAAGCACTTGCGTGGCAAGCACAAGGGTCTGAGTTCAATTCCTGGTTCTGCCAAAAAAAAAAAAAAACAACAAAGAAACAAAAAAATAAATGGACAAAATGTACGCACTGGATTTTTACATTCATATTATACATCTAGTACAAACGGTTTTGAATTTAACAATACCCTGCGCCTTGTAGGGCTGCTTCATCAGCCCCTGACTGCAGGAGCAGATGGGGGAGTCCATTAGAGAGAACAGTCCAGCACTTGCTATTGGGCCCAGCACACAGCTAGTGCTTATAAATAGAAGCTCTATAGCATTATTTTTTTTAAATTTATTTATTTATTTGTGTGTGTGTGTGTGTGTGGCCAGCTCAGTCCACCTGGGGGCAGGGCGGGCTGGCATGTGGTGCTGGGGGATTGAACCACGGTCCCTGTGCTTTGCTAAGCTTGTTCTAAGTAGGTGCTTTAGACCACTGAGCCATCTCACCAGCCCCCCTATAGCATTTTTATTGTGAAATATTTGGGGATTATTATTGTTTGTTTGTGTTTGCTGTACCAGAGATTGAACTCAGGACCTTGCGCTTGCCAGGCAATGTGGATTAATTTTTTTTTAATTTTATTTATTTATTTATTTATTTATTTATTTGTGTGTGGCCAGCTCAGCCCACCAGGGGTGGGGCTGGCTGGCATGTGGTGCTGGGGGATTGAACGGCGGTCCCTGTGCTTTGCTAAGCTTGTTCTAAATAGGTGCTTTAGACCACTGAGCCATCTCACCAGCCCCAGCAATGTGGATTTTTTTTTTAAATTTTTTTTTAATTGTTTTATTTATTTGAGAGAGAGAGAGAGAGAGAGAGAGACAGAGAGAGACAGAGAGAGAGTGTGTGTGGTATGTGTGTGGCCAGCTCAGCCCACCAGCGGGCGGGGCTGGCTGGCATGTGGTGCTGGGGATCGAACCACGGTCCCTGGGTTTGCCAAGCTTGTTCCAAGTTGGTGCCCTAGACCACTGAGCCATCTCTCCAGCCCCAATGTGGATTATTATTAGCCCTAAATTTTACATCATTTTTAAAGGCTACATGACACATACAATGTGAAATGGAAGTACTAGAAGCTCTTTAGCACGGGCCCACATCCTGCTACCAGAAATCTGCATTTGCTCCAATGTTCCCACAGAACCATTCTGAAGCTTCCAGTTAATGTTTACGGGCCTCAGTGGACAGGAAGGTGGCACTCTCCTCTGTACCTTGTCCTGATCCTCAGCCTCCTACCTTCTCACTTATTATTCTTGAGTTACTATGTTATTGTATTGCTTGTTATAATATTATAAAAGTTGTCGATCTCTCTGGAGTCAGGTACAAACTCTGTAACTTTTGCAGAACAGTGCCTAAAGATTCAGACTGCTCAAATCTAAACTCCTCCAAAAGAGAAGGGAAAAAACCCAAGCACAGTCTTCTCACCCGGTATCGGGACTCTGGGCGAATCATCATGGACATTCTTGCGTGCTGGCTCAGTGGTCTCTTATAGCCAACCGCGGAGATTGGCCGCCTCATCATCTGCTGATTCCTGCAAATGGACTGCAGTGTTAGGGCCCTGGCTGGAGTGCACCCCGCAGTTCAGGCTTGATCCTATGAAATGAGCACTCAGAAGATTCTGAGCCACACAGAACCAGAGTGGTAACTCCCAGGACTGAGGTCTGATGACATATGGCAGTAGCTGCTTCTATTTTCTGCTGTCTGATTCCGATGTGCATGCCATACATCTTTAAGCTGGAAGGGATCCTGCTCACCATGCACCATGCAGTTCTTGAGACAGCAGACCCAAAGCACAGCTGTGAGTTCTCCCCAGCTCTGTACTCTGTTCCCAGTAGGACTCAGGCTCTGACTGCTACACAAAATATCACCGTGGTGCTGCCTTCACTGTGCCCAGCACATTTCACAAAATGAGGGGAGACGGAAGCACCAGGAATGTGATAAGTTTTTAGCTTCCTGGTGACAAAGCTCCCAATTCCTAAAGCAAACTTTACCTCATGGACCTACAGCAGCCAAAGTCAGAAATGTAATTAGTTCTGATGTTAAATACATCAAACTGTTCTTGCCATGTTCCTTTGGTCAAGTCCAGCTTTTCAACATTCTTTGTTCCCTCCCCATCTGCAAGTCTACTTAAAAATAAATAATGACTTACTCCAGTCTAGTTATAGGATGTAATTTCCAATGATCTTCCTCTTCATCAAAGAAGGATCTATTCATACTTTTACTCTTCTCTTCCAGAGGGATAAAGTTTTCTATAATAAGATGCCTACAGAACACAGGTAATATGAGTGAATAAAGATGAAGAATATACAAATGGCCCAGTGCAGTGGCACCTGCCTTGATCCCAGCAACCTGAGAGGCTGCAGCAGGAAGAGCACTCGAGCTTAGGAGGCTAATCTAAATAGTATGAGACTCTCCTTCAAAAAACAAACCAAGAAACTACAGAGTTGACAGCCTGGTACCATGAACACTGAGTCACTAGACATCTGCATTCACACCAGTGTTCCCAGAGATCACAGTGAAGAGTCACGCCACTCAGCAAACATTTACTGAGCAGCTGCCATGGACCTAACATCATACCCAGATGAATGACACCTGGTCCCTTCATGGGACAATGAGATAACAGTGAAGCACTCTCACGTGTGACAGGTGCCAAGATTGGTCTGTCCCAGGCAAGTGGAGAGGTCATTTCTGCCCAGGGAGGCACAGCATGAGGCAGGGAATCAACTGAGGAAGAGGCGACCACCAGGACACCCTTGGGTGAACATTTGCTACCCAAATAATCTTTACTGTTTTGTTTTGTTTTTCTCAGATAGCATCTCACTGTATATCCCAGGCTGGCCTTAAATTTGTGGCGATCCTCCAGTATTTGCCTCCCAATAGAACTGATTCCAGGTGTGAGCCTCCATGCCTGGTCCAAAGATCTTTGAAAGGGCCACTGGTGCTGCTAAGCCAGGTCACTGTCTCCAAAAACACTGAAAGCGAACTAGAAATGAAATGGTCTTCCACCAGTCTCATGGCTTGTTGCCCAAGCTGGAAAACTGCCCATTCTAATTGGCTGGGGCAACGATCAGGACCAAAAGGATTTGGCCCACTGACATGAAGATCATCCTTGAGGAAAGCCTCTGCCCAACCGCTTCCCAGGAAACACAGCAAACAAGGGACCTGGGGCCCACAGGTTTGCATCCACCCACAGTGACGACTGTTTCTTGCCCCATCACTGCCTCCATTATTCCAAAGCCTCAGGAAATAATGTCAAATGGGTGTTCACATGGGTGGGCCAAAAGCAAACACCACAGAGATGCAGGATACTGCAGGACAGGTGAACTCACTGTTTATTCAAAAGATTAGAGGACGTATCACAATGACAGTGGCCTCCTTAGGGACAAAACATTTGTAGGGAGATGAAATTTCCTCTACTTTGTTTGACATTTCAGAAGTCAGGTTTTTCTTTTTTTTTTTCCAGAAGTCAGTTTTTGTTACGTATTTTTTTCTAATTACAACGGTCTCATTTACTCACTAAAACATGAAATATGAGGGGCAGGGGAGATGGCTCAGTGGAATAAGCGCTTCCCTGGCAAGTGCAAGGGCCTCAGTTCAATCCCCAGTTCCACCAAAAAATAAAAATAAAAATAAACATGAAATATGGCCCGTCGTGGTGGTGCACACCTGTAATTCCAGCACTCAGAAAACTGAGACAGGAGGAGTGCTGTAAATTTGAGGCCAGGCTGGGTTACATAGTGAGTTTAAGGCCAGCCTGAACTATAGAGCAAGACCCTGTCTAAAAAGTATTTTTTTTTTTAAATTGAAATACGTCACTACCCATAATTCCACTCTCCAGATACAAATATTATTAGTATTTTGGTATTTTTTGTTCTGATCTTTTCTCTAGATGTCCAGTGTGTGTGTGTGTGTTTTGCAGTACTGGGGAATTGAACTCAGGACCCTGTGCTTGCCAAGCAAGTAAGTGCTTATTCTACTGAGCTATCTCCCTGGCCCTTCCATTATGTATAAAAAGGACTAACATAAGCTTTTAATTTTAAGGACCCTTTTCCAAATTAAAAAAATCTCTTTGAAAAGTTCTTCTTTATTGTTTTTGGTTTTTTGAGACAGGGTCCTGAAACTTGCTGGCCTCAAACTTGTAGCAATCCTCCTGCCTTAGCCTCCTAAATGCTGGGATTACAGGCATGTACCACCATGCCAGCTCAAAAATTTTTTTTTTTTTTTTTTTTTTTTGGCAGAAACAGGGATTAAACTCAGGCACTTGCCAAGGAAGTGCTTATTCTACTGAGCCATCTCCCCAGCCTCTCAAAAATTCTTCTTTAAAGAAATAATCTAAAGGCTGGCCAGACAGCTCAGTGGACTAAAGTTCCTGCTTAGGCAGAGTGTAGTGGCCAGGGTTCAATCCCTGGCATCCTGTGCTGGTCCTGCCCCCGGGGCACGCTGAAACGATGATCAAGACTGGGCACTGGGCATGGTGACACAGGCCTGTAATCCTAGCACTTAGGAGGCTGAAAACAGAAGACTCACTAGGAGTCTGATCTATGTAGTGAGAGACCTTGTAGACCCTTTGTAGACCCTGTACCAAAAACATTAAAAAAAAGAAAAAATAGTAATCTATCTGATAATCTGGAGGGATTAATATAGAAAATATCATTTTACAACTCCTAAAGAAATGTTTTGCATGCTCTCTCTCTCCTTTTGGGAGCTTCTGGAGCTAGAATTCAAGGCCAGGCATCACTCGTGCTATGTAAGTATTCTATCACTAAGCCACATCCTGAGGCCTCTTTATTTTGTGACAGGGTCTCACTAAATTGCCCGTGCTGGCCTTGAACTTGTGATCTTCCTGCCTCAGGCTTTTGAGTAGCTGGGACTACAGGCATGTGCAAGAGAGTCAGGTAGTTCTTAAGCCAGGCTGTGCAGTAGTAGCACCTAGAGAGTTTTCAAAGAATTTTTTCCCAGGCCTCATGAGAATAATGGTTCTCAAAGTGTGCTTAAGTCTGGGTGATGATAACCTGGGGGTTCATTAGAGCAACAGGACAATCTCAATGTCTGTCCGTCTGTCCATCTGTCCACCTGTCTGTCTGTCTGTCTGTCTGTCTCTCTCTCTCTCTCTCTGCCTTTCTGTCTCTCTCTGTGTGCTGGGGATTGAACCGAGAGTCTTAGGCATGCAAGGCAAGAGCTCTACCACTGAGCTACATCCCCAGCCCAGTTTTGTTTTTAAATGACAGGGTCTTGCTATGTAGTTCATGCTGGCTTTGAATTTGCTAGGTAGCTGAGGTCCACCTTGAACTCAGGGCAATCTTCCTGCCTCAGCCTTCTAAGCCCTAGGATTATAGGTGTGTGCTACCATAGCCAGCTTAGGACAATTTCTCAATAAAAGGTCAAACTAATTTTGTTTAAAGTCCCTTTTATCAGTAGGTAGTGGTGACAGTAGAACTTTAAAAGCTTTAAGAAGGTAAGATAGAGGAGACATTGGAGATCATCTGGTGATCTTCCAGAAATGGACCCAGAAATGTTAAGTGCTTCTTTTAAGACTAACAGAAGACAACAGTTAGTGAGAGCTGAGCCAGTAGGAAGCAGGCAGGGGCTTGCCCTTGGGGAAGTTTCCTACTTGACATACAAGGCCCAAAGCCCCCAGGTAGCTGAGTACCGCAGGGAGCCCACACTTACTTGAGCTTTAGCTCGCGGGTGAGCTCATTCTGGGTCTGCTCCAACTCCTGGCGCTCCTTGATGTGCTCTTCTTGGAGGTCGTGGATCTCAGCCTTCACAGCTTGCAGCTTGGAGAAGAGCTGCAACGGGGAGAGGCAGAGAAGGGGCCATCAAGAGCAGAGGCCTCCCTCACCCTCGGCCCCAAGGCACCTTGCCCTGGCCTCAGTTTGCTCGTACCTTTTTGAGTTTTTTGGTCTTGATGTCCACCTCTTGCTGCAATGAGCTGTAAGTCTCTTTAAGTTCCAAAGTCTCCTCGTCTCGACTTTCCATCTGTTGCTGGATCTCTCTTTCTCGACGTTTCTGAGCAATAGCACAAAACTTAGCATCTTGTTCTAGAGACTGTGTTAGCTCAAGAACACAGGGCTGTGAGTTCCACCAGTCTGAACTAGCATTCTGAAATGGGTAAATCTCCTCTCCATTCTCTTTGAAGAAAGCCTGCACCAGGGTCCTAGCTCTGTGGCATAAACTCACTTCAAACTCTATCCTCCCCAGAAAAGAATGCAAAGTTACCTGCTCTGCAATTTCTTGCCGTTTCTGCTCCAGGATTTTCTGTTGTTCATTCGTATGATCTACTATATTTTTTCCTCCAACAAGTAGTTTACTCTCCATAGCCTGAGTGAGAAACAAGTAGAATCCATCTTGTGAATGGTCTCCCCTAGAACATAGCTCCTCATAGAGGAACCCAAGAAAGATAAAGAAGTCCAAATTGAGCTAAAGCGGACAAACTGGGCAGGGGCGGGGGGGGGGAGATATATACTGGGCCAAGTGTCGTGATACCTGCCTGTAATCTCAGCACTCTGGATACTGAGGCAGGAAGATTGCTGTAGGTCAGCCTACACTACACAGCGAGTTCAAGAAAAAAAAAAAAAATCAGGAAAAAAATATCAAAACATATGCTAGCCAGGAGCAGTAACACACACCTGTGATCCTTGCTACAGAGGCTGAAGCAGGACGATGGTGAATGTGAGCCTAACCTGGGCAACTTAGCAAGAGCTTGTCTCAAAAAAATAAAGTGTGTAGAGTTACCTGAGGGTGTAGTTCAGTGCAAGGGCCCTTAGTTCAATCCCCAGTATACTGCCCAGCCCCACCAAAGAAACAGAGAGAAACATATGTGTGTATAGATACCCTTCCTTAACCTCAATAATACTGAAGGCACAGCTTCTCCAGACATGCATGGATTTCGGCTTTAACAAAGCACTGTCCTGCCTGGTGTGCACAAAGCACTAAGCCTACTTTAGAACAGACCAAGGGCCACTTAAAGCAAGGTACTGGGGAGAAAAATGTCAACGAGAATTGAGGCTCAGAGTCCACAAGGGACACAGACAAGCAAGCAGGCAGGAACCAGATGGTGTCAGACGCCATCCCAAGAAGAGAAGAGGTCAGAGTAATTAACAGGGAGACTCGCCAAAGAGGGAGAATTTGGTCTTTCAGAGAAACCTTCCAGATTGAAGCAGTATCTAGACAGAAGGCTGCAGGAAAAAACAGGAATTCACTAAGAGAGAAAAAAAAAAAAAAAGATTTGTGAGAGGATACAGTAGGGAGTGGAGATACCTGAAGCTGGCAAAACCAGCAGAGTCAGTTCTCAACTTCAAGGCCTGTTAGGGAGAGGGGGCCTCAGGCAATCTGACAAGTTCTCCTTGAGCATGGTCAGACTTGTGCTTCACTGCACCTGGGACAGAGAGGATGACTGCAAGAATAACTCCTGGTCAGGCATGGTGGCACACCCCTGTAATCCCAGAACTTAGGAGGATCACTGTGGGTTTGAGAGCAACGTGGGCTACATAATGAGACCGTGCTCACTCTCACATACTTTTTTTCACTATGTAGAAAAAAAAGAACTCCTGCAGGTTTGCCTCTAAGAAGAGACCTGGCTGTGGTAACCAGGGGCATCTCAGTGGACACCAGGAGGCAGAAGTGAGAGGAGTCTGCATGCCAGGACAGCTTTGGGCTGCATGTACAAACTGGACGCCTTCAGCATCCAGATGGGGGCTGGGACCATCAAGGTGATTTTTACCTGAGCAGTGTGGAATCCAAAAACTCTACAATCTTGCTTTTTTGTTTTCCCTTCAGTATTGGGAGCCTCTCCACTGTTCTACAGCTCTAGTCCTTTGTTTTTATTTGGAGACTGGGTCTTACTAGGTTGCTAAATTGCTCATGCTAGACTTAAACTTGTGATCCTCCTGTCTCAGCCTCCCAGAATGCTGAGATGACTCTGCTTGTATAAATTAAGAGACATTAGCTGAGCTGGGTCTAGTGGTACATACTCACAGTCCCAGCACTCAGGAGGCAGAGGCAGGATTGTCACCAGGACAACCTTGGCTACATAGTGAACCTGACTCAAAAAATTCAACCAAACAAAAGGAACAGGGACTGAAACCCTGCTGCCACCTTTCAGTCCCGCTTTTGAACCTGTTTCCTCTTTTCTCAAAACAAAAGGGCTAGGCTCTACTACTAACTCAAATAACCTCCAGTGTCAAAATTTTTGTTCTATTATTTGACAACATCCATACATTGAGAAAGACAGAAGTAATGTCCTTCTTTCATAGATGAAACATCTGAAAAATTCAGAGACCTTGCTGAATCTTGCCACCTTGGACCTCAGAGTTCCCCAAGTACCCCAGGTCATTTATAGAGTCTAAGTGTTCCTGGCCTTGAATAACAAATGTGATCCTAAGAAACATTATGCCACCAAACTTGGCCATAGCCAGTTATACTCCAGTGTAGGATATGGAGAGTAAGTGGCATGTGCCATAAAGGATTCCATGGTAACAAAGTTACATGAACGAATTAACCTAATTGTGCTGTTTATGACTATAGCTTCACATGAGCTCTTGAAAGTCTTTGAATTGACTTTCAAGATTTTAAGACCCCTGCCTCTAAAGTGAAATAGAACCCAGCACTGTGAAAGCACTGCTAGGAAGCCACAAACACAGTGCACCTTCACAGAGCAAGGGAGGCAGGGTATGAAAGACCTGTCATTTTCAATTAATAAACATGGATTTATTTTAGGGTAGAAATCAAAGTTGGCATAAATTCTGGCTTATTGCTTGTCAGCCAGTGGCCATTCTCAGGCTTTCAGGGCTTGCTCTGAACTCTCCTCTGGCTTTAAAACCTGGTGACAGCCAGAGTCGAGGCATCAGAGTCAAAGGAACAGTACACTGCTGCCACAGAGAAGATACAAACACGCGGCCCCTACACTCCAGAATACAGTTCAGCCAGCGGGGGAGATGGAGGTTGGGGTCAGGGTAAGGTATACCAGTGCAGACTAGAGACTGGGGCACAGGCTGGCCAAAGGAGATAGCGCTAGGACAGTTTAGGGGTGAGGGAATTACTCTATATCTTTTTTTTTTCTAATTTTATTTGTGTGTGTGTGTGTGTGTGTGTGTGTGTGGCCGGCTCAGCCCACTAGGGGCAAGGCTGGCTGGCATGTGGTGCTGGGGGATTGAACCGCGGTCCCTGTGCTTTGCTAAGCTTGTTCTAAGTAGGTGCTTTAGACCACTGAGCCATCTCTCCAGCCCTATTCTGTATCTTGTATAATCATGGTACCACAGATTAAAATCACACTGAGATACCACTGTATGCCCAGCAGATAAACAAGACATCCATCTGATGATAATCTCAGGAGTTGGTAAAGATGAGAAGCCAAAAAAAAAAAAAAAAAAAAAAAAAAGATGAGAAGCCACCAAAATTCACTCTGCTCAAGGCCTCAGTTCACACTGGCACTTCATAAAACAGACTGTCAACCCAGCTCAGGGAAAGCCCAGTGTTCCACTACCAGCCTCACCAGAAAACAAAACAGAACTAAGAAGCTAGGTGTGGTAAGACACCTGTAATCCCAGCTCTCAGGATTACAGTGCGAGGGCAGAAATATTGACCTTAAATTTGAGGCCAGGCTGGGCTATACATTCAAGTTCAAGGCCAGGCTGGACTATATAGCGAGACTCTGTCTCAGAAACAAAAAAAAGAAAAACAAACACCCAAGAAAACAATTTGTCCTCCTATAGTAAAAAGGGGAAGCTCCATACTCTGGACTCTCGATGTAGACAACACACACGCACGCATGCACGCACACTCACATATCCTCCTGGAACCAAGTCCAAGAATAGTCATAGTAGAAAACAGAAACAACCCCACAGGAGGGGGGATTGCCACGGAATAATGAACAAGTCCGAGCTACAGTATCAATATAGATTAATCACATGAACAGAATGGTAGACAAATAAAAGCAAACTGCATGGAGCATACTTACATAAAACAAAAAAGCATGTGGAACTATTTTATTTAGAGATATACATATGTGGTAAAATTTTAGAGAAAAGCAAGGGAACGGAAAACACCAAATTTAGCTTCTATTTCTTAGGAGGGAGGGACACATGGATATTTGTTTTGTTTTCTGCTATGCATATTTTGCACATATGCAATAATTACTATGATTCAATTTTTAATTTTTTCCATTTGAAAACCTTTCTTCATTTTGATTCAATTAAACAAAGGTTTATTGGGCAGTCGGTATCACACAGTTGGAAATACAAAACCGAGAGAGACAGCGTCCCTCATATAATTTTTTGACAAAGGCACTCGTCAGGCATAGTGGTACAGCTCTGTAATATAAGCACTCTGGGAGGCTTAGGCAGAAGGATCACAAATTCAAGACCAGCTCAGGCAACCTAACAACTTAGTGAGAACCCTGTCTCAAAAAATTAAAAAAAGGGCTAGGGATATAGTTCAGTACAAAGGAGCTGCGTGTAAGCCTCAATACTGAATGAAAGAAGGTAAGGAAAGAGGAGAGGGAAGGGGAGGGAGGAAGGAAAGAACTCCCAGGAAGGGGAGGGTACCTTGATTTTGGCACCCAGCATCTCAGCAGCATCCTTCTCTCGCCGCAGGTCTTCCATCTTTTTCTCCTTCTCCTTCAACAACCTCATCTTCTCCTCTGCAACCAAACTGTGGTCTTCCACAATGGCCCGCTTCTCAATCTCCAGTTTTTCTTGCTGTTCCCGCCAATAATCATCCTTATCATCCCCTTCCTCCTCTCCCTCTTCTCCCTCATCCTCCTCCTCTTCCCCACCCCCGCCACTGCCACCACCTTCCCTCCGCTTCTCTCGCCTCTTCCTCCTCCCGATGGACCGTTTTTCCAGCTGGGCTTTGAGCCGAGCAATTTCTTCCTGGAATTCTCGAAGGAGGGCATCTTTTGGGTCCTCATTGACCCTTGGCTTGTTCTTAATGTTTTTGGCACGGTTGGCATATCTTAGAGTGGTCAGAGTCTCTTCTACATTATAAGAGGCAGGCCCCACATTGGCCACCATCACCGTCTTGGCATTGCCACCAAGGGAATCTTGGAGGAGCCTGGTAAGCTTTGAATCTCGATACGGGATGTGGGTGCTTTTGCCGTCCACCAGAGCAGAGATGACATTCCCCAAGGCTGAAAGGGAAAGGTTGATCTTGGTTGCTTCCTTCAGTCTTTCCCCCTGTGCACCAGTCTTAGCTTGCCGTTCGCTGCCAGCCAGATCTACAAGGTTCAGTTTCCCTACCCGGATGTGGTTCTCACCGTCCAGGCCCACCTCACTGCACTCAATGGTGATGACAAAGATTGCGTGAGAACGTGAGCTGTGCTCGTTCATGTTGGTGGCACCAACAGAGCGGTTCTGGTTGCCCACGTTCATCACATGCTCTATCTCCTTCACACTCTTGGTGACAAAGGAAGACAGGTCTTTCACATACAACCCAGTGTCAGGCCTCTCTTTAAGCTCAAGCCTTTTGGTCTGGTCCTTTGAGAGCAAGTCTCGGATCTCCTCCTGGTAGATCTCTAGGTAAGAAGCCCTGACTAGATACTGCTGATTCTGGGATCGAGAGATGTGGGTGAAGATGTGGTCAAATGAGTTAGGAATGACCCCTCTTTTTTCAGGGTCACCACGGACCCCTTCCATTGTGTAGGTTTTCCCAGTCCCGGTCTGTCCATAGGCAAAAATTGTCCCATTGAAACCCTGCAGCACAGAGTCCACGAGCGGTCGAAACGTCTCATCATAGAGCTCAAACTGCTTAGCATTCCAGTCATAGACTGCATCGAAGGTGAAGGTCTTAGGCATTTCATGGGCTGTACCTTTGGGGTTCTTCACAGATACCTGCCCAAGCTTCACATCCACATCCACCACCTTGTCGTAGGAAGCAGCCTTTTCCTTGGTATTCATGGGCCGACAGCGAACCACTACCCGGACCGACTCTGAACTTTTTAACTTCAGCATGATGGACTCTGACCAGATCAGTTTTAAAGGCAATAAACTCAAAAGGATTCAGGATGCTAAGGTCCTAGGAAAAAAAGATCAAAAGTAAATAAGTACAGTAGTCACCAGAAGCTGCCCTGACAGCAGCTGTTATACATACCTCTCCTTCTTGCTGCCCTCCTAATAGCCATATTTAATACTTTACTAGTTATGTATTTGCTCATGGGATTCTAACCAGCTTTACTGTAAAAAAAAAAACTAAAAAAAACCCAACTCCAGTCCTCCAATATTAACTTACCTGACCTCTCCTAAATACCTGATCTTATACTAAAGCATAGGTAGCCTTAAACTTTTCAGAAATCCTGCTGATCTTATATCCTGTTGAACCACTAAACTTCTGAGGAAAGCATTATGAAATACCTATCACAATTTGAAGCCAGGTATGTTGGTGTTTGCTTATAACCCCAGATATCTAGGAGGCTGAGGTAGAAGGATCAAAAGTTTAAGGCCAGTCTGGGCTATAATTCAAGACCCTGTCTCAAAACACAAAACAAAGCCAAACATGGTGGCACATGCCTGTATTCCCAGCACTAAGGAGACTGAGGCAGGAGGGTTGCTATGAGTCCAAGGCCAGCCTGGGCTACATAGTGAGTTCAGGACCAACATGAACTATATAGCGAGTTCCCATCTCAAAATCAAACCAAACCAATTAATAAATATTAAGGGCTGAGGATGTGGCTCAGTGGTACAGTGCCTCTAGGCTCAACCATTCATATATATAT